GGGACGAGTCTCATTGCAAACTTCTGCACTTTTTCGAGCTGCCTTGTGTATTTTTTACATAGGGGTTCCAAGATGAGCCGGCATACTCTAAGATTGGTCTCACATAGGCGGTATATAGTGATCTAAAAGCCTCCTTATTCATGTTTCTGAAAGATGTTCTGACTTTTGCCCGCGTATAGTATGTGAGTGACGTTATTCGATTTTCAGGAGCCTCATGGACTCCATGCTGGAGCCGCACACGCAGGATTGGTCTGACATGTGTAGTATATAATGTTCTGAATGATTCCTTACACAAGTTTCTAAAGGCCGTTCTTATGTTGGGCAACCTGGCATATGCCGCTGATGTTATCCTCTTGATATGGGCTTCAGGGGACAGGTCAGGCGTGATATCAACCCCCAGGTTTTTCACTCTGATACTTGAAGTATTTCATCTCCCAAATGATACCTTGTATCTGGTCACCTGCTCCCTGTGCCTATCTCCATTACATTACATTTGCTCGGGTTAAACTCTAAGAACCACTAGTTCGGTTATTCCTGCAGCTTGTCCTGGTCTTCTTGAAGCCTCAAGCTGTCCTCCTCTGTCTTAATCCTTCTCATAATTTTGGCGTCGGTAGCAAACATTGAGAGGAATGAATTCCATTGAGAGGAACCCTCTAGGAGATCATTTACGTATATCAGAAACAGGATAGGTCCGAGTACAGAGCCCTGTGGGACTCCACTGGTGACTTTATGCCAATCTGAGGTCTCACCTCTAACTATAACTCTCTGCTTGCTATTTCTTAGGTACTCCCTTACCCACTGGAGCACCTTACCAGCTACTCCTGCATGTTTCTCCAGCTTGTTCATCAGCCTTTTATGGGGTACTATGCCAAAGGCTTTCCGACAGTCCAAGAAAATGCAGTCTGCCCAGCCCTCTCTTTCTTACTTAATCATTGTCACCTGATCGTAGAATTCTATTAGCCAGTAAGGCAAGATTTACCTTCCCTTAACCCATGTTGATGGGTTGTCACGAAGTCCCTTCTCTCCAGATGTGTTACTAGGTTTTTTCTCACAATCTTCTCCATCACCTTGCATGGTATACAAGTTAAGGACACTGACCTGTAGTTCACTGGCTCTTATCAGTCACCCTTTTTGTATATTGGGACCACATTAGCCATCTTCCATATTTCTGGTAGGTCTCCCGTCTCCAGTGACTTACAATACACTATGGAGAGTGGCAAGCAAAGTGCTCCTGCACACACTTTCAATACCCACGGAGAGATTCCATCTGGGCCAGCAGGCATTCTCACGTTCAAATCCAACAGGTGCCTCTTGACCTCATCCCTTGTAATTTCGAATCCTTCCCTGACCGCCTGGTTCACGGTCACCTCTCCTAGTGCAGGGACCTCACCTCGTTCTTTTGTGAAGACCTGTGTGAGTGTATTCACCTATTTGTGTTTGCGGGGGTTGAGCTCTGCTCTTTCCGCCTCTCAAGAGTCAATCAACTGTTACTAACTACGTGTTTTTTTTCCCACATACCTACACACACCCAGGAAGCAGCCCGTAACCGCTGTCTAGCTCCCAGGTACCTATTTACTGCTAGGTAACAGGGGCATCAAGGTGAAAGAAACTTTGCCCATTTTGTTTCTCGCCGGCGCCGGGAATCGAGCCCGGGTCACAGGATTACGTGTCAAGGGTGCTATCCACACAGCCACCGGCGCCCCACCGATGTGTGTGTGTGTGTGTGTGTGTGTGTGTGTGTGTCTGTACTCTCCTATTTGTGCCTGCATTATCAAGCTTTAGCTCTTGGACCCCAAATTTGTAGCCGGTGGTTGTTTTATCCAATTACTCATGCCTAAGTCTTCTATCATATCGACTTTTTGAGTAATGACTAGAGTTAACTTCTAGAACCTGCTCCTTTAGCATTTTCCACTACTCTTACACTAAATACAAATTTGATCTTTACGGTACATCAGTTTCTCAAGCTTTCACCTTTTTCCTCTTGTTATATGGGTATTTTTGTTTAAGTTTCGGTCATGTTTGTCTTCTCTTATAATAAAGTGACGTCATTTCTAGTTATTGCCGTCTCTCTTCATACTCCATTCCTCGTAGCAAATACCTGATCCTTATGTAACTTTCTTGGGTGTTTTATTCAGATTGAGTCATAACGATGGGTGGCTTGTTCTACGTCCGATTTCACATACGCGACATACAAAGATCTAAATGCCTCATTATTTAAGTTGCTGTTCAGTTGTTGCTTATTTATGTTCAGACTTTTGGCAAGGTTGAGTATGCTGCTGATGTTATCCTGTTCGTGTGTGCTTCCGGAGTTACCGTGGCGTTGTATCCACTTATAGGTTGTATTAAAAAGTCGTCACTATAGATAGTAATTACTAGGGGGGGGGGATTGTCTATTGTGAACGATTTTTCTGCTTTCCTGGCACCTGTTCCTATTTCTATCACCTTACACTTGCTGATGTTTAACTCTATTAACCATTTCTCGGACCAACTCAGCAAATTG